CTATAGTTTTCATCATATCCCATTTCATATATCTCCCGCAAAAGATATTTAGATTTTATATTTTTTTTATAACCACCAAGATCCATATTACTCGCGCGCTCGGATATTTTCTATATGATTTAGATTATATACTACCCTCCAAATTTGAAATTGAAATTTGGAGTGGACAAACATTTTTCGTCCTGTTTCACCGATTACATCTCCTATCTTATTATATTTATTGCCTTGGAAAGCTTTAGAGTTTAATATATGTTACTTTTTATTCACGTTTTAATTAATTTTCATATATTAGTAATGTGTATATACTGAAAAAGGTTTCAAATTTGCACACGTCTAAATTGATTTTGATATTCTATTTCGAAATCTATGATCCGAAAAATATCGTAATAATATCCAACCTGAAAAGTTTGATCACATTAACTCCGGATTCAAATTTGACTCGTCTTGAATACAGTTGAATAATCTATATATATATATATATATATATATATATATACTCTGTGATTACAGATAGATATGGAATATTTTATGTATACGTCGGTCAAACGAGTCAAAGGGGTCTCCGAGTTAAGGCACAACCCACTCGTGCGCTGAATCTTGGTGTTGCCCCGTCAACAAACGGAAGCTTGTAATTAAGCACAAACGAACCATCTAATCATTTATTTATTAGGACACTAATTACTTTGCACATTATAAAAATCAAGTCCATATTTAATTATTATTTTTGAGATTTATACATATCTATAACACAATCATATCATCATCCTTTTCACCCAACATACGATTAAAAAATAAAAGATTGGACCAACGTTGAAAACATACAAACGAACTCGTCGACCAAAAGCAACTCTAGCACGAGTCGTATTCAACCTATTAGTAATCGTTTTGCGATTTGTTCTTTACTTTAATTTATATAATGTCAAACATTCATTAAAAATTTAAAATTCACCAAGTAGATATGTAACCGACAAGTTTAGTCAAAACTAATATCTTGGTTTTATGGTTATTAAAAAAACAAAACTAATCCTAAGGGCAATCGAAATTATAGTAATTACATCGTCATTCCATTTATATACGAAAAATCCGTATAATAAAATGTAGCGTTGATAAAAACCACATATCTAATAGAAAATATATTTTCTATGTTATAAAGTTCCATATATATTCACCATATGTAATGTACGTCTTTATGTTATATAACTTGAATTAAGATTTGGTCAATATTCCAAGGGTTGTCTTAAGAATTCCATCATACGATATTTGGTGATAGCAAGTCAAAGATTAACTCATTGAGAGAGGTCCAAAAATATATTTTTTTTGTTTGTAAAACTCATCATAAAAAGTCAAATCACATTTGATATCTTTTTTTTTTACGATGTCAAAGTCAAAGACCGATTATGTTTTTAAAAATAAACAAATCCATGCATAAAGTCATATATATATATATATATATATAAAACCCTAAATTCAAATGGTTGACATGGCGTTCTATTTACAACTTTATTTGAACACGTACGGTGTGTAGTTTGCAATTTTACCTAAGCCATTTGCATATATTGGATTTGATGGTTGAATGTTGTTTGTATACGTAATGTCAGCATATATACACTAAAGCTTCGTGATTGACCTAAAATCGTATAAACATTATAAATCGACCTCTCCAGAAGATGAAAATCAAAATTCATAAAGTGATTACTGCAAACTAATGTTCAAATCTGTTTGGAAGCCTATTTTAACCGATTTTAATGATCTTACAAGAATTACTAAATTATTACTTTTTGTATTTTCTGAACGAAGATTATATATATATATATATATATATATATATATATATATACACGTTGATTACAGATAGATATGGAATATTTTATGTATACGTCGGTCAAACGAGTCAAAGGGGTCTCCGAGTTAAGGCACAACCCACTCGTGCGCTGAATCTTGGTGTTGCCCCGTCAACAAACGGAAGCTTGTAATTAAGCACAAACGAACCATCTAATCATTTATTTATTAGGACACTAATTACTTTGCACATTATAAAAATCAAGTCCATATTTAATTATTATTTTTGAGATTTATACATATCTATAACACAATCATATCATCATCCTTTTCACCCAACATACGATTAAAAAATAAAAGATTGGACCAACGTTGAAAACATACAAACGAACTCGTCGACCAAAAGCAACTCTAGCACGAGTCGTATTCAACCTATTAGTAATCGTTTTGCGATTTGTTCTTTACTTTAATTTATATAATGTCAAACATTCATTAAAAATTTAAAATTCACCAAGTAGATATGTAACCGACAAGTTTAGTCAAAACTAATATCTTGGTTTTATGGTTATTAAAAAAACAAAACTAATCCTAAGGGCAATCGAAATTATAGTAATTACATCGTCATTCCATTTATATACGAAAAATCCGTATAATAAAATGTAGCGTTGATAAAAACCACATATCTAATAGAAAATATATTTTCTATGTTATAAAGTTCCATATATATTCACCATATGTAATGTACGTCTTTATGTTATATAACTTGAATTAAGATTTGGTCAATATTCCAAGGGTTGTCTTAAGAATTCCATCATACGATATTTGGTGATAGCAAGTCAAAGATTAACTCATTGAGAGAGGTCCAAAAATATATTTTTTTTGTTTGTAAAACTCATCATAAAAAGTCAAATCACATTTGATATCTTTTTTTTTTACGATGTCAAAGTCAAAGACCGATTATGTTTTTAAAAATAAACAAATCCATGCATAAAGTCATATATATATATATATATATATAAAACCCTAAATTCAAATGGTTGACATGGCGTTCTATTTACAACTTTATTTGAACACGTACGGTGTGTAGTTTGCAATTTTACCTAAGCCATTTGCATATATTGGATTTGATGGTTGAATGTTGTTTGTATACGTAATGTCAGCATATATACACTAAAGCTTCGTGATTGACCTAAAATCGTATAAACATTATAAATCGACCTCTCCAGAAGATGAAAATCAAAATTCATAAAGTGATTACTGCAAACTAATGTTCAAATCTGTTTGGAAGCCTATTTTAACCGATTTTAATGATCTTACAAGAATTACTAAATTATTACTTTTTGTATTTTCTGAACGAAGATTATATATATATATATATATATATATATATATATATATACACGTATTTGAACCCAATAAAGAATGGTACTAAAAATCCATGTATTTTATGATTTATATATAAAGATTATAGTGTGTCCATAATTTTAGAGAGCAGTCGATAACCACGTTCCGTGTTGATTGAAGTTTTAATTACTATCACTTTTCTGTACAATTAATTATTGTAGAGTGTCTTCAACAAACCCACTCATCGAAGAAGAGGTTTTCGGAACCTTGGTTTCGGTCATAGGCTTTCATAGACGGAGTGGCATAATGGGCATTTTTGTAAAAGGTCAATTATGAGACCTAGGGTTTTTGGTGTTTTTCCCTTAGACGTGTTTTCTGGCTCTCTCTCTTGCGGCCGAGGGAGCTTTCTCTCTCATCGGGTGTGTGCGTGTCTCCGGGGCCGCCATCGGCGGGGTCTACTCCACTTCCCCTTTCCGAGACGTAGGCACCGAGCGTTAGAGCTCGGTATCGAACTCGTATATCGCGTGTCTCCCTCCTCTCTTCTCGGTTCTTGGTTCAAACGAGGGTGAAATCGGAGAGAGTATGTGAGGGATCGAAGGCCGGGAACCACAACAATTATATTATGATTGGACGTACAATTATTAAATTATTATCCAGAGTATGTGGACATATACGGATACAACTAATATATATATATGTATATATGAAAACCCTCGAACCACAATTTAGCTTTTCATAAGGAGACTAAGACGTGGAAAATGTTTTACTCTGCATATAATAATAATTAAGAGATGAGTTAATAATGTATTATAGATTATTTAAAACGACATGATTTTTTTTTCTGTAAAATAAAAAAAATAATGAAATGATTTTTTTCCCCTGTGATGTCGAAAATGTTTTTGAGAAAAGAATTATCTTTTTTTTTCTAACGTTTTATAATCCTTATTCCCTACGTTTTATTTCAAAAATTACAAACCAATATCCCAATCTATTAGAAAATAAAGAATAGTTGATTATCATGTAGAGATGATTCTAAATAATATTATGTTAAATAGGGGTGAGGATTTTGGTTTTCGATCCCGACGTGGTTCGAGTTTTTTTTTTAGAACATTTGGCCCATATGGGTTCGAGTTTATTTAAAGTCGGTATTTTTTTTTGTTTTTAAAAAATATTATATATATCTGAGTTATATATATACACACATATACATGTCGATATAAATTGGGCCTTTTGGGCAATGTAAAATTTTCCATAATAGGCCCATTATTGGTTCAACCTCGTTTCTCCTCTTCGATATTGAAAATGTATATTACATTTTTTTTTTACAAATTGAGATACATAATTACATTCAGGAAACAATATATGCGGAATATTTTATTTAATTTGGTTGGACATTCGAGGCGGAACTAAATCCAAATTTCGTACGTAGTCATGGGATTTCTACATATTGAATAAGGATAATATTATTTAGTATCTAATTTATGTCACCGTCTCTTTGATTTCAATATATATATACATACATATTAGTCTACCACAACTAATTAATTACATCCATAAAAAAAGTGTATATATGCGTATGCCCATAGATTATGTAAATCACTTGAGGATATTTTTTTTGTTTTCCTTAATTAACCAACTCGAGCATTAATTACCATATAAAAAAAAGTATTAAAAGCACGAACGTAGCAACAATATTTTCCGTATCATAATCTATACAATTTCATTATATCTTCAATACATGAGGTAGATCCCTTTGACAGAATATGTCCTAATTAGATCATGGATATGTCTAATCTATTTCCATTAAAATAAAAATATCCGCTGGAATCTATATATGATATTGCAAATAAAACCATAATCATTATTAAGGAAATTAATAAGATATCTAGTATCTCTAATCATTAGTGATATACTATATATACGCATCAATTTAAAATACGGGAAATGCCCATATTTGACAATCTGTATGTATGGACATTGCATTGTAATCTAAGTTTGTGACAATATACAATTTACCCTCTAGGCTGCATATTTTATCCAACCAGCCATATGAATATCGCCACGTGGACACCGTAACGTATTTGACACGTGGCATGCTCTCCCTGCGCATGTATTTCAGAGCTTATCCGTGCCGCTGCTATTGATAGAATTCTCACGCAAACAAGATCTCCGCCGTCCGTCTTGATCACACCGTAAGTTACTGTACAGTGACATGCACCAAAACAAAACCAACCCTTTCAAGCGGCGTCGTCGCGTGTTAAAACAAGGGTACCGTCCTCGCCACGTGTCTCTCATCCATAATATATGACATAAATGTGTTTTTTCCCTAATTTCCCCCCACTTTTTTTTTTATAACTCAAATTGAAATATGTATTTACGCCATCGCGTCACTTATGTAATCATATATAAAAAAAATATATAAAAAACACACACACATATATGTATATGAAAAAATTTCGCATTGCCTTTGGTCATAAGGCCCACCATTGCCCTACTTTATTATTTGTTGATTTACAGAAATCTAAAACATTAATTATGAAAATATTTAAAAAAGGAAAGAAACAATATATGCGCAAAATATTTACTAATTAATCCCAGAAATTTTATTACCTTACCATGTCATCGTCGTCAACTCTCCCTTATATAGTAGACTACACCATCTTCATTTCATCACACAACACACACACGCACACAAAAAAGACTATCTAAATCCCTTACAAAGTTTGTTTTTTTCATCATCGTGAATATGTCGCCGACGGAGATGACAGAAGAGAAGATACCGGCGGCCGGAGGTAGGGCTTACGTCACGTTTTTGGCGGGAGACAAGGACTATTGGATGGGAGTGGTGGGTCTTGCGAAGGGTTTGAGGAGGGCGAGGTCGGCGTATCCACTCGTCGTGGCCGTGCTGCCGGACCTGCCGGAGGAGCACCGCCGTATCCTGGTGGATCAGGGATGCTTAGTCCGTGAGATCGAGCCGGTTTACCCGCCGGAAAACCAGACTCAGTTCGCCATGGCTTATTACGTCATCAACTACTCCAAGCTTCGTATCTGGGAGGTATAAGCACGCGTTTTTGTTTATAAAGTATGCTGATTTACAATACACACATACGTACTTGTGTACATATATAGGTTTATATTATGTGTTGTGTGTCGGCAATTTTGGAGTTCTCGTAGTGATTACTGTGTAACTAATTTGCATGTAACATGCAACGTCTATAAATTAAAAGACACGTGGAATTTTGACACGTATCGTGATTTTTTTGGGGTTCTTCGGACACTTGTCACGCAGCATGTAGTTCTTTGTTGTTTCTTTTCACTCATTTTTCCCTCGTAACGGTTATGTCTGAATATAAATTACACAGAAAATATATAAATAATGCGTTATTAACTAGAAATAGGCGCTCTAAATACTAAACCCGGTCGGGAAATTAAATGTGCGCAGTTCGTGGAGTACGAGAAGATGATATACCTCGACGGAGACATACAAGTGATGGAGAACATCGACCATCTCTTCGACAATCCGTCGGGACACTTGTACGCAGTGATGGACTGCTTCTGCGAGAAGACGTGGTCACACACTCCTCAATACAAGATCGGATTCTGCCAACAGTCGCCGGAAAAGGTAACGTGGCCGGCGGACCTACTCGGCCCTCCGCCGCGTTACTTCAACGCCGGCATGCTCGTCTTCGAACCCAACCTCGTCGTCTACGAGGACCTCCTCCGTACACTTGATGTCACTGCTCCCACCTCTTTCGCCGAACAGGTACATGATTCTGCATCCTCAATTTTATTTAAATCTATATTATATTTATATGTATATATAATATGGTTTTGTAGTTGCAAATTATAACTAACATTTTATTCATGGTTTTGTATATAGGATTTTCTGAACATGTACTTCAAAGACATATACAAGCCGATACCGTTGACTTACAACCTCGTACTCGCCATGCTTTGGCGCCACCCCGAGTGCGTTGACCTTGACAAAGTCAAAGTCGTCCATTACTGTGCCGCTGTAAGTCCATCCCTATACTTTCTCTGTGTGTGTGTATATGAAATCCTAGTTAATTTTTGTAACTCGATGGAAATAACATAAAACAAATTTGGTACTGTTTAAAAGGGATCGAAGCCGTGGAGATACACGGGGGAGGAAAATCACATGGACCGAGACGACGTGAAGATGTTGGTGAAGAAATGGTGGGAAATATACGAAGACGCTTCGTTGGACTACAAGAACTGTGTCGACGAGATCGCTGAGTCGGAGACCGAGTCGAAGCTCAATCCCCTCATCGCCACCTTGGCCGTCAACGATGCCGACGGTGGCTGTCTTGCTCCCTCCGCCGCATGATCCGCCGGAGCAAAAGCCATATATGAATGTTTTAGCTATATATATATATATGGCATATTATTAGTCTATATATATATATATACATATAGTGCTACTCTTTTCCACTATATGTATGCCGGTTCCACATTTTGTTTTGGTGGGTTTTCTGTTTTTCAAGAGTTTGGTGTAATTTGGGATTGTGAGATATTATAGTTGACGGTCTTGTGTTATGTTCTGATATTATGACAACCTTGACCGCTGCTCTTGTCCTGGATCTAATAATTAAGCATGTTTTTATTCTTTTTAATTGTTCTTTTTTTAATTCATATATCTGCAGTATAAGTTTCATGCCGTTCGGGTATGTTAAAGATGAAATCTGCTGAAATATATAAAAAATCTCTTTACAGCATTTTTTTTCTGGCAAAGTCTTCAGCACATTGTAGAAGACAGAACAGGACACAGGGAAAAGACTCAGAGATCGTCGCGCGTGTCAGGCCGTCGCTTGGACTGAAGAGCGAGACGGGCATCTCTCTCCTTCTCAAACTGTCGGTAATCAGCTCTCTCCAAGAAGGAGACTCTGTCGAGGTACTGGTTAGAGCTCTTCTTGTATGCGTCCAGCTCATCCTCCAGCCCTTTGTTCTCGTCCTTGAACTCTCCCCAGTCTTTCTTCGTCTTATCCAGCACACTCAGCTTCTGCTTCTTCTTTATCTGTTCGAGCAATGCGTCTACTGCAGATGGCGCTGAGGATTTCCCCTTCTCGGATGCTTCCTTTGAATCCGCATCGACCAGCCTCTTGATTTCTATATCTTGACCCGCAAAGTCCCGGACTTCAGTTATCTAGAGGGCCAAAAAAGAGGGTGTTTCTACGTCAACCAAAAAGCTCACAAAATAACCGAAGATAGAGATGTTTAGTGGTTCTCACTTTTCACAGAAACTCCCGAATATCAGTTCATCAAAATCGAGTTTCAGTAGATAAAGAGAACTGCATCATGAGATTATCTCGACCAAACACTAATATTTAGCTCTATGATATATACCAAAGATTCTGACCATATGGGGTGGCAAGTAATAAAACAGAAGAATGCAGCGATCTACGAAGAGAAACAGAGACAAATTGACAACAAAAACATGATTTGATCAAGAGAGGGAACAAGTTTGTCAAGAAATGGGTACAAGTGCAAATTAACAGATAGCTTTGAAGGTTTGAATTTGGAGAAGGCAGCTTCCTAAGGCATAGCAAATTCATCACTCCAGATTAATGGGTAATCAGCAGACCTTAAACCCTAACATCGCTGCACAAAACACAATCTACGGAAAGCAAGCATTCTGACCTCAACTTTGCCGCCGCTTGAAGCAGCTACAGCCGAGGCGTTCTTAACAGCTGCAAGAGCAGCTGCAGCAATTCTCTTGGCCTCCTCAGTAAAAACATTATCCGCGACACTGTCATCCCTTTGCACATCTAAAGCTCTGGCATCTGCTTTCTTTGTCTCCACGCCCAGATACATTTTCCAATTCTGACAAACAAAGGTCAATTTTATACTCAAACCCAAAGACATCTCTGAAACTGAGACATCAGATTAAAGAACTGAAGATTGAATTCTCACATCAGAGAGATTCGCAGAAGCTGATGCATCTTGAATGGATGAAGCAGAAGGGCTCTCCAAGAGAAAATTGAGCCGCTTGTCTGGAAGACCCTCGTTCATTTGCTCCCAGATTTCGGCAACCTTCTTGGACACAGTGCATCCGCCATTGTCAATGTCTCCAGGAGATTTCCTCTTCCTCTGTAGTCCTAGATACAACACCCACTTCTGCAAACAGAGATTCGCAATGTACTGGGTAAGACGACGACAACAACAACAAGAACAAAATGATCTTGTTACATTCAAGCCGTGTAGGAAAAAAAATGTGGAAAGAAACATTACATTAGATCGAGTCTCGGAGAATTTATTGACAGTCGAAGCGTATCTCTCACAAGCCTGCTTGATACTTCGATCAGACACGCCTTTTCGCATCTCATCCCACATCGACCTCACCCTAGCGTCCATATCCCAGCAGAATCAGGTCTTGATTTAACACGAATTCATTCACAGAAACGCGAGAGAAAAACCCAAAACCCTAAGGGGAAGTGCCACCACGCCGTGAATCAACCGGCGGAGATCTAAAGATGAGGAAGAGATATACAGGAAGGAATCGATCTCCGGATATAGATGCTTAGAAAGAGAAACACCGGCGACGAGGATCGGAGGGAAGAAAGGGGGAACGGCGGCGATTCCTCTCGTCGAAGGGAAACGAAACCAACGAAACCTTCGGGTTCTTTTTTCTCGTATGGAAAAAAAAAAGGAAAAATAGCCTACAGGCCCACAAGTTTCGGAATTCCACCAATAACCCCAAAACTTCTGAAACTACAATTGACCCACAAATTTCAAAAGTCGTCCGTTCCCTCCGCCACCGTCAATATAACCCTTAGCAGCTCCGTTACCTCGACCGTTTGTGTCGATGACGCTATATAAATATAATATGATTGCACGCATACGTAGCTATTTTAGGAAATCCTACGTGGAATATAAAACAAAGTGGATATCCATAAACAAAATAATAATTTTAAATTTGCCCGAGTCTGTGACGTCTGTCGTGTCAACGAATTTTGGCACGTGATAGTTATTGAGAAGATTTCCACCAGAATTCAGGCTCGACGACTTTATTATATATCTTGTTGTAATCGCACATCCAAATCCGATTGGGTGAGACGAAGACATGAGATGTTAACCTTATCTGCCACGTGTCACTTCCAGAATCCAAAGAAATAAATTCAAAAGCCAAATAAAGGGAAAAAAAATGTTATGTTACATTAATTTTGAGTTATAATTTACGCACTGTTTATTTTATTACATATACATATTATTTACTTTGTTCAATGTCAGTGGCCAAAACTAAAATTTTAAAATCCATTAAAATCAACCTACACAAAAGCATTTAAATCTGCTTATTACACACACACACACAAACATATATATATATATGATGTATACATAAATAACTATTTCATATGTAACGACAAAAAAATAATTACAAATATATCAACCAATGCACATAAAAATATAAAATTATATAAATCTTTACTTCTTATAAATTATAATGTAATATATTTAAGGGAAAATCCACATAAAAAAAAGAATTTACAACAATTTTCTATAACAGAATTTAGAACTTTCAATCTAATGCCCATTAAAAATGCATGAATTTTTCTCATTATATATGTATGTGTATATATAAGTATATATGCGTACATTTTTTTTATATATTTTTGACATAATAATGATAATGATGTGGTTGTCAAGTTGTTATTTCGGGTAAAAAAATTGATCAACAGAATCTACTAACTAACTTGGAAACAAATAACAAATGCAAGACAGTTAAAAAAATGGGACTAAGTTCGTGTCTTTTAAAGGGGTCGTAAATTCAGGTTTTTTGCACATTGAGCATTTTTTGGAATTTTTCTGTATTTAATATTAGAATTATGATCATTTAGTTCAATAATATAATATTGCAATAAAATTAATTTTTTTTATCGTTATATTGGAAAAAAGAAATAATTTCTGTTTTTTTATTTGCTTTAAATCATTTGTATTCACTTGTGATGATGGGTAATTAACGGGGAAACCAAAAGACCTTATTTCGTTCGTGCCGATGGCGATCCTTTATGCATGCCATTTCCCTCTCTGAAGTTCCGACCAGGCGGTGATATCGGAGCCGGAGACGCCGGAGACGGCGGTGTTAGGGTTCCGGCATGGCGGCGAAGAAGGCGTGCGAGGCGTTTCCGAAGAGCTTGATCGAGGATGTGCACAGATGGGGTTGCATGAAGCAGACGGGTGTGAGCTTAAGGTACATGATGGAGTTTGGTTCGAGACCCACCGAGAGAAACCTATTGATTTCGGCTCAGTTCCTCCACAAGGAGCTCCCGATTCGGATCGCGAGGAGAGCGATCGAGCTTGAGAGCCTTCCGTACGGTTTATCCGAGAAACCCGCCATTTTGAAGGTACTTTTAGGGTTCGAAATCAGGGTTATGATGGTCATGTTCTGTCGTTCTCGTGGGGGGAAATTCCGATTTGTTTTCTCTTTCTGGAAATTGGGCCCTGTGGAATTCTGCTGCCATTTTCGGTGTTTGATCTTTAGCTTAAATGGGTATTGTCGGATTATGCTGAATCCGGTGCTTGATCTTTGAATTACCAGTTTTGTTTTCGGCTGACAGAAATTCGTAAACGGAATCTGGATTCTTAAAAGAAAAAGTTAAGAAGATATTAGATCATGACATTTCTGTATTATCTTGTCCTTAATACAAAATCACGGGGACTGTTTTAAGAGCTTTTAAGGCTTGTGTGATGCTGAGAAAAGAAAACGTTTCGGCCACTTCATGTCTGCATGCTATCTTGAGAATTCTGACACCAGATTTGGCAATTGTATTGGGTATATCTTCTAGGTGCGGGATTGGTACGTAGACTCGTTCAGGGACATGAGGGTGTTTCCGGAGATAAAGGATGCAAGTGACGAGAAGGAATTCACTCAAATGATCAAGGCCATCAAGGTGAGGCACAACAATGTGGTTCCGATGATGGCATTAGGCGTCAATCAGCTGAAGAAAGGATTGGGTCCCAAGATTGTCTACAAGGATTTTGACGAGATTCATCAGTTTCTTGATCGTTTTTACTTGTCAAGAATAGGGATTCGGATGCTTATAGGTGAGCGACTTGATTTATGATCTCTCTCTTTCCAGATTGGAAGGGTCTGACACTTGTAAATTACTGTGAAACTCAGGGCAGCATGTCGAGTTACACAATCCAAACCCGCCACCTCATACCGTTGGTTGCATACACACTAAAATGTCTCCCATGGAAGTAGCAAGGAATGCCAGTGAAGATGCCCGGGCAATTTGTTTCAGAGAGTATGGAAGTGCACCCGAGATAAACATTTACGGAGATCCAACTTTTACCTTTCCGTGAGTTCAAGTTCATCGCTTTTTCCTTTTATTCGGATTGAATTCTTTCCTTGCCCGTGTTTTCATGTCAGCAAACGGTCTGATTTCTATCTGCTTACAGGTACGTTCCTACCCATTTGCATCTCATGGTATACGAGCTTGTGAAGAACTCGCTACGTGCAGTCCAGGAACGGTTCATGGACTCTGATAGAGTTGCGCCACCTATACGCATAATAGTCGCAGATGGAATTGAGGATGTCACAATAAAAGTAGTTTCCTTCCTCTGATTCACTCTCCGCT